GGCGTAGACACTGCCGTGCAGCGCACCGACAGCCTGCCGCCGCCGCGCCGCCCGCCCCCGCCCGCGCTGCCTCCCGCCAGCCCCGCGCCCTCTGCCGGCCCCGCGCCCCCCGCCGGCTCCGCGCCCCCGGCCAGCTCTGCGCAGGTTCACCAACGCCTGGCGCGAGCACATTCACACGCCGCGCCCGCGCGCCCTCCTGACCCGCCTCTTGTGAGTTTTCCACATTTTAGTCTATGTAATATTTAACATACAATTATACCTATTGCGCGTTGCATAATTTATTTCCAATAAGAATATCTGCTGAAACTATGGTTCTTTCAATAAAAACAATGCAGTATGCGTAATCTTCAAAAATTCGTCTCGGCTTTATGTAATCTACTACCTATACACACTATGCATAATATTGACGTTAGTAGTTTTGTGTGAAAAAGCTACTGTTCTAGAAGGTACAAAATCGTGTAACACATTACACTGTTTTCACAGATCCCACCACGGGTTGGTACGGCAGGAACAAGGCCGATAGGGCCCCCGCCAGCTCTACCACCGCGGCAACTGTCTGCGGCAGCGGACGTCGGCACCGCACCGAGGTGAGGAAGTCATGGTGCAAGGTGAACCGTTGTCGGCCGAGCCGCCACGATGTGCTGTAAAGTATTAGGAGAGAATAATCCGGGCCGAGAGGTGAGGAGGCTGACCACGCTGACGCTTGTCGCAGAGGCGCGGGCGGGGCTGGCGGGGCGAGCGGGGTGGGTGCGGCGCGACGCGGGCCGCCGGTGCGGCAGGGCTCAGTGTCGGCGCCGTTCGCGTCTTCAAACCCTTTCACGTCGCCGCGCCACGCCGAGTTTGTCATCCCGCAACGTAACAACGTGCGCCGCTCCTCCACCACTGACAGAAGCTAGTTGCATCCGTGACGCCGAATGTTTGTTCTTAGATGTGTATCCGTATTATATAACATACAAGCTCACCCCTCCTTGTTCGATATTAGACAGTAGCCGTTCTTGTGTAACTTACTGTAAAGTGTTGTCAAAAAGTAGAGCTTTGAAAACGACATTAAAGTACTCCGTCACAAAGCAATATTAACTTGTGGATTTTGTAAATATGTATTGTCCTTAAAACTAGACACCCTCGCAAGCAGTGCATTGGGTAATAAATTGCTGCGAGTTGTACATACAAACTTTCAATTACCATGCATTCAGGACCTAATTACCTGTATGTTGCTGCTTTTGAAAGCTAACATTGCTATCTTTGTTTTATGAAATAAGTATATTTAATATATTTTCCAAGTGCACAGATTGAGAAACTTGCCCCATAAAAAATATTCAACTAATAAAAGATCTAGTTTCTGTTTTTTTTCTTAACTACTTGTAGAATTCGATTTGTCCATTTTCTTAAAAATATATTTTTATTATTTACTTTCTTAGGTATATTTATTGTGTCAGAAGTTATTCAAACAATACATGTTTATACACATACATTTGTTGAAATAATGAACATGAAAATATATGCTAGTAAACACTCGCAATCTCACGAATTATCAATTGATGTCCAGATGTTTTTAGCAACAAAAAGCAAAATAAGTTATCTGTGGAGAATTTGGTTTCTATATTCAGTTGTGCAAATAATATTTTGTAAATAGCCTAACATATCGACTAAAATCAGGGTTGCAAATGTAAAATATTGTTTGAGTAATCCTAAAAAATATAAATTGATTTATAATATGTATTTTTGTGCTATTTTGGTTATAAATAGCTCTTGTTATATATGTCGTTACAAATTTATTTATTTATGCATATCATTCTGGAAAAATTTGCTAAGCGCAATACAATGTTGTTATAAGTATTAGACCGAACTTTTTTCTTTGTATGGGAACGGTTCTGTTATGTTTTAACTATAATAATTTAAGTGTTTCAACCAGCAAAGTTTACTTATTGTGAACTACATCCACATTTAGGTAATACATGTTTATTCTGTATAGAAAAGAATATCTAGAATGGTATAAAGTATTATTTTGTTAGTTACAAAGACCTGTCGATAAGTGGGGGCAGTTTAAGTTCTTGCAGTCCTCTTCACTTATTTTCGTTCTCTATTTAAATACATCCAGAGTATTCATGCTCCTATGTTATAAAATTAAATGTTATGCTGTTACAAAGTTGATCAATATATTTATGAACCTTACTTCTGCTGAAAGGAAATGTTATGAATACTGAAATGTTTGTAATACAACATAACTACCGAAATGAGGTTAAATTATTATTTTATGCCAAAAATAAATAAAAGTATCTTATAAAATATCTTTAATTTGTGTCCATTCCAAATGATATTTTTTTACAAAGTAGCTAGAGATACTTCACACAATCGTATTTGGTATATTTAAATATACCTACTTACTCATAAGACAGAATTAGTGATTGCTTGACACTTGGCCCGTATCCACATTTAAAAACACATGTTTTTAACATAACAATATATGGATTGACAAAAAAAGAAATATTTAATTTTGAAAGGATTTTCTTGCTCCCAGTCCCCGAGCAGGTCAAAGGACGTTTGAGATCAGCTGTCAAGGAATGAAATTACTAAAATACACTACATAACTAGATGACCTAAGTATATTTATCATAACAAACTATACGAAACTAAGTAAATATTGGATTAGACATATAATTACATCAGACTTTCAAAAAATAAAAGTTATTCCTTTATTGCAAGGTGTTGATTTCGTAATATCACAGATACTTGTTTTAGCAACAACAAAATGCTATATTCAAGCCCGTACTCTAGCATTGCTTCATGAATTACTTGAAAACTGTTATATTTGCTTGTAAGCTAAAGCTCCAAGCGAGATAGAATATGGGCCTTATTTAGCTGTTATTACAATTAAATGTCTTATCTAAACACATGACGTACTATATTATCCTAAAACTATTTCTATTTAAAATTAGGATTTTGACTAACAACACACGTATTTCACAGATTAATCTCCGGCCAATTAATAAACACTATAAATATTTAAATCTTAACATTCGGTAAGTATTTATAGCTAAGTAACATTTGAGTAAGAGAATGTATCTATCGTAGATAAAAAAAGTACGGTCGTAGATCATGAAGATTTTTTACAACAACCTACTATATCTGGCCCTGTCCCTTCATGCCATCTCGCTCGCATAAATGCGACGACTGCCGACGACGACGACGGCAAAGGTGATGTGATTGAGCTAGAGCGTCAATAAGGAGGTTAAGAGAAGAGAATGAGGCTTTGTTTTATAGCTGGCCGAAGGCCGACGAATGCTATATTTATTTTTATAGTAAGTGTGTGAAAATGATAATGCTGCGCGTAAGAACTTGCTTTACGCACATGGCATGGTCGATGGCTTTCTCACGAGCTTCTGTGGAAGTCACTGAAAGATAGATGCGTGACTGATTTGATAATGCGATGTACAGCAAATTAAGAACAGCTAGGCTACTGTGTAAGATGTCGAATCGAACTCTCAAAGTGAACTCGATCGCGGTCCGCCATGTCATGGTTGTGTAATCTCGACCAATGAAGGGCGAGATTGCGATCGAGAAATGTAGATAAGACCAACGGAAGGAAAGAGCATTACTTACGCGAAGAATGATATGAAAGAGAAAAGAGTTAATTATAGAATAATTCGATAGAGGGGATAATGGGATATAAGACATACCTACCTATTGTGCCAACCTCAAGTAGCTTGAGAAAAGGGCAGGAAGAAGGTTAATTGTTGTTTTGCGTCACTCCGCAAATAAAGAAACATGTCACATTTCAGTCCATCCGAGAATAAGATCATTGTAGGTAATGTTTTTATGATAACTATCGTGAGACATACTAAATTAACTAAAAATCGCGGGTGCGGCATCAGTAGGCTGCGCGACATCGCCGCGACCCCGCACGCTGCTCATGAGGAAGAACCCCTCTGTGGTTCGAAACTAGTAGAGCTTTTCTCAGTATATTCACGTGAGTAACTCGCGATTTTTAGTAAATTTTTAGTTAATGGGGATGATGACAGGGTATGAAAATTAAAAATATAATTAGTCCGTAAGTTAGGTAATGAAAAAATATTAGACACGTATTTTTTTATTTTGTCGTATAATAAAACAATACTTAGAAACGAATCAAAGTTTAAGAGTGGGGGCTAAAACGTCATTTCTTAGTATAAAATGTACTGAGAAGTGACGTCACGCGACATTTCAAATCAACATATCTTCGAAACTATTCGTTTCTGTGAGAAAAGAAAAAATACGTGTCTAATGTTTTTAAATAATCTACCAGACGGACATTAAAATAAAAATTAGTCGTCTACCCTTTTAGGGTAGACGACGAATTTTGTAATAGGTAATATTACAAAATTCTTCGAGCTCCACGATCGTACTTTAAGTGACATATTAAGCAACATTCGGTTACAAAATGATCATTGGTCTTAATACTCGTTAAAATTGTCTCCGTAATACGTAAAATCCTTATTAAAATTTTATAAAGTTCATCAGGTACACATATTGCGTTAAAATTTTTTACTCGTTATGAAGCAACCTGTATCTAGGTACCTATATGCATTTTATATTAACATGTATTTAACTAGGTATTTACATATAAATCAGGTTCAGGAAATACCTATAATGTAACAGGGTCGATTTCTCAAGAATGCAAATGGTGTTAAAGAGAATACTAAATGGAATACGCACATAGGTACCTATGGACTTCTATTCAAAATATAAAACTTTTAATTATTTATGAAGGTATAATATAGACTTTAAATCTGACGGTTCACGTAGGTAGGTACTTACCTAATTTATTTGTCTTGTACTAGTACTCAAAAGATTAAACTCGAAATACTATTTAGGAGAGTCGGAGATAATTTGATTCTAAATTTCCAATCGACTAAATAGGCAGGTACCTACCTACTACGTTGTTCACATCATTTAACAATCAGTCAATATGTTGAATAAGTACAATATGTGCAACAGCTTGTTCCAAAGTCCCGGTCAAAATGTCAATGCCGCTGTTCTTTGGATGCTTGACTGTTTTCTATATTTCTTGGCTGCACATCGACCTAACAAAAACAAATAATAATACCATAGACAAATAGGTAGGTACGTACTTAGGTGGTTATCAAGCACTTGTATGTTTCATAAAATGTTACCAAAATCATGTTAAACACCGCCACCACTACGTATTACAAAACTTAAAACAAGTTACCTAAGTCCGAACCTAGAATTATTTTATAAACGTTACACAATATGTAGGAAGGTAGGTAGGTAAGAATAATTCAATATACGCCACGTTGCGGCGCAATTAGTCAGTTGGTTAGTACTTAATACTTACTAGATAAGCTAAATACCTAAGCGAAAATTATTTAGTAGTATAGAGTTAGTTAACAATTGCGCGCGGCTGTCCCATTTTTAGACATTTGATATAGTGTTCTTTAAATTTAGGGCGTACGCGTACCTGTAATCTTTAGGAGGTACCTATAGTTAATGGTATGTTGCATTACGGTGCGCCCACATTTCCATTAGGAATATACCGTTTGCGAACCGTTCGCGATTATCTTGGGGTTTGAATAAGGTAACGAAATAAAACCATCAGGGTCAGGAAGCTGTGACTAGATGATTGGATAAACTGCTTATCTTTAGAAGACAAGCTCTAAGGGACGTCCTACTGTATTAAGTAGGTAGGCAGGGTATCGCTGTTCTCGAACTGTTATACTCCATGTTCAGCTCTGGCTGGTGCGACAAGTTGCCAGGGAGCATACATTTTAAAGGTAAATTAAAAACCATGTACAGCTATAGCTATACCAAATGTCTAAAAAGCACCCCCTCCACCAATATTGGACATAATTAGAAAGTAAGTACCTAGTTGTTAGTAATAGGACCCACTGACAATTATTATTGTTATGATGATATTAATAGCTACCTTGTCAATATCACTGGAGGATTTCGAAATATTCTTTTTGCTTCTCATTTGAGATTTTGAATACGTTTTTATGTTTTTCATATCTTTTTTTAACATATCGCTTGTGTGTACCAGTCCTTCTTGGGTAAGTGTCTGAGGAGAACATCACAATTTACAGGTCGGTAAGTTATGCTTAGGAAAGCTGGTTTTTTGATAAATTCTTCTCAATGCTCCTTGGAATAGTGAGCTAGCCACCTGGCTGCAGGTAGCTCCTACAGTACATTGTCTTCAAACAACGACATCACTAGAGTTGCTGGTAGGCAATGTAGTGAAACATTCGTTCACACAAGTGGATGTCATTTGGCCGATGATGATGACATAACACAACATAATCTTATCTTACTTATAATAAATCTGTAGAGAGGTCAATTCTGTACATGAAGCATATTTCCAAAATAACTGTCGGGGTGATGAGGAATCGATACTGATAGGTACCAAAAATGCAATCAGTAATTTTTTTGTCTGTTTGTCTGTCTGTCTGTATAACCGTTATAAAAACTAAAATTACTCGACGGATTTTAACGAAACCTCGTACCATTGTTTTTCATACTCCTCAGGAGTACCAACTACTTTTCATCGTGCTACAATCAATAGAAGTAGAGTGTGTAGTGTAAAGGGCAATGTTGGAAGAAGAACGGAAGAAGTTGCTCCATTTTTTAAATTCGGTAAAACTACGGGTCCGATTACGATGAAACTTGGTATGATTATATTTTAACATTATGGCCATCACACTGGGTACTTTTATCCCAAAAAATTGAATGAAATTTGGAATAGAGGTAGATTATGGTCTGGAGTAACACATATGCTAATTTTTACCCCCGGAAACGCGGGCGAAACCGCTGGCAGAAGCTAGTACCTAGTAGATAAAAAAGAGCGCTCCGCTTAATGTCATGAATGTGTATCTATGTAGGTGCATGTACATTTATATCTACTCCACAAAATAGCTACCTACTATTGCTACTCATATGAAGTTCCGTTTTTTTTTTACTCATAATATCAACGTTGAAATGTTACCCATATCTAATACATCTAAGGATTAAGTTTTATAAGGTATGCAATTTCTGCTTTATTCTAATAATAAAAATGTTCTACTTACATAGTCCGGATACAAATGTTCAGGGTTGATTTCTTGTCCTTTCAGTTGTCCATTCGACTCATTAATTTTCCACTTCAAGTCAACAAGGGGACTATTTATCCTTTTACATAATTCCCTACAACGCATAACATCATTAATACAATAAAGTGAGTAAATGTGCGTTACGTACTACAATGTTTTTATTAATGCACACAATTTAAACTTCGGTAAACCAAAAAACGCAATGGGTGCTACTGTATTTTTGCCCACCATACGGCACTAGTGTGGACACCTCGTACTCCAATAAGAAATTACCTAATGTCACACTATTGGACGTTCAATATTGACAGGTACAGTGATTAGACAAAGAGACCGCTCGTAAGATTTGCGCCATCTGGTGAGCAATAAACTTTAGCACATAACGTAAGAATCTGAGTAATTAAACTTTAGAAAACTCAAACAATTATAGTTTATGGGCTACTTACATGTTAATCCTTGTAAAAGCTTCGTCTTCAGTATAAAAATCAGAAAATTCGGAATCTGGTAATTTATAACTGATCAAATGATTAGAATTTCTTATTCCTGCAATCCAGCCCAAATTCGGAACGCTTGTACATTCAATCCATATATCAGACCAAAAATTGCAGTTTTCTGTAGGGTCACTACTATCCTGTTCGTCGTCAGAAATTATACAAACATCATCTGAAGGAGTGGAAATGCTATTTGTATTCGATGCTGATACACTATACTTTTGAGTTGCTTTGATAATTTCACACTCTTCTCTAGAAGGCATTTCAGTTATTAATTTATTATTGACAAGCTTTCTATTGATTTCTTCAGGTTTTAATATAAACATGCCTCTTTCGGGTTTGGTAGTTGTATGTGTTTTTGTTGAAAATACAGAAGATATCTTTATTTGAGATATAGGTTCAGAAACTAAACCTTGTGATGTTTCTGGGACAGGTTTACAATTGAAGTCGTTAGGAAAAAGATTAGGTTTTAGTAAAGATGGTCCATTACTTTCTTCAATATTTATTACGACAGGCACTGCCTTGGAGCTGGATGGATTTTTACGAAAACTTTTTAAAGCTATTTTTTTCAATACACCATCTGAAGCTAGATGATAAAAGCCATTAGTTTTGCGAATTTTAATTGGTTTTACAATTTTAATTCCTGGTTTAGAAGGTGACGATTCAATCTTGTTTGGTGAAATACTATCTTGTGCATCTGTTATGTCATCTCTTTGTATTATTTTTGTGTCGTCGTTTGTTGGAAAATGAGTTTCTAAAGGCATTGCGCTATTATTTTCATTATTTGTTGATGGTACAAATGACAAGGGGTTTTCTACTACTTTCAGATTGTCGATTTTATTCGTGGTAATCCAAAAACCCCTGGTTCTCTTCATTCTTCTAACGTCCAAAATAGTTTTAATAGTTTCAATACCTAAAGGGTCTTCCATTTCATACGGTCCAACAAACACACAGTATTCGTTGTTATTGGGAATAGCGTAAATACCAAATTGAGGCAGATCACTTTGTGTAAATTTTTTTGAAGATAGTCGTACTGTTTTTCCTGATAGTCGGGCAACGTTAACTGCATTTATTATACTCTCATATTTAACAAAGAAACCTTTTTTGAAAAACCTTATTTCACTAAAATCATGTTCTATAGTCATGACGAACCATTTTGATGAACCAGCATCTAACGGAGAAAGTGTATTGCCTTTATTAGAAACATCCTTATGTTCAGTTTTCTCAGCCAAAGATTTGTTGTTTGTCACTGAATTAACTTGACTACATACTGATAACGATTCCATATTCGTAGATTCTGTAGTTGTAGATTCCTTTATTGTAGATTCCTTTTTTGTAGATTCCTTATTTGTAGATTCCGTTTCAACAGATTCCACTCTAAATGAATCTGAGCTACCATTATCCATACTGAACGATTCAACACTAGATGATTCCAAATTTATTGATTCAATATCAGATGATCTCATGTTAGATGACCCTAGGCCGCATGAATCTGTGTTAGGGGAATTTATATTAAAAGAGTCCATTTCAGGCGAACCCAAATTAGACGATTCCAGATTAAAAGTCTCTATACTACAGCATGGTATAACATTAAAGGTCTCAATTTTAGAAGATTCCATGTCAGATGATTTCACATTGAATGTCTTTATGTTTATTTGTGATATTTCATCGTTTTCGTTGTCTTTCTGTTCACTATTTTCATTCACTTTAGCAACAGAACCAATTAGCTCCCAGCAACAAGCTAGTCCACGTAAAATACAGAAGTTATCTTTTAAGTCAGATGCATTAATGAGTAAGTTTTTAACAGTTTGTGGATATTTATTTAGATCCGCAAAACGAATATCATTTATATTGATGCAATTAGCGAAAAATGGATTTCGGGTATTTACTGCCATAAAAATTCTGTAAGGTGGTACATTAGACACTAAAAAAAGATTCTTTCTTTCTCTATATCTTTTTAAAATAAAATCCCATGAATGTAACGCCACTTTTCCTTGCTGTGGAGCTTCTAAACAATCCTTCAAGCCTTTATCGTTTCGTTTTTTGTACAATTTATAATTTGTTTCTAACCACGCAACAAGTTTGGTGTTACTGCCTAAACGCTTTCTTTTAGCTTTAGGTTCCATTTCTTCATTATTCACAGTAGGGTCACAAAGTAATTGCAATATACCAGCATCATCGTTGGTTGTTGGTGGTTTAACAGGTTCATTTCCGTAGATTTTCCTATGAATACTGGCTAGCTTTTCCTGAAGCCTCTTATCATTTTTCTCCATGTTTAATATTTTATAATTAGTGTTTTTGTAATAGCCATTGCTGTATTTTCTCCCTTCGTATGCATTCGTTCTTGAACTTGTCATACTTTGGTCTCCCCAGTAATCTGAATCTTTACTTTCTGAATCAGATATTTCATGTTGCTTTTCTTCATTTACGAGACAGTTTTCCTTCACATTTGTCTTTTTAATAGAATGCCTTGTTACCATAACCCTCTGTGTATTGACAAATTCTGGAACTGAACTTTCATTTTCAGTTTGTTGTATATTTTTAGTTATTACTTTTTTATATTTAATTTTATTTACGAGAGGATCGTACTTTGTTTTTTGTGTTATACTCATATCATATGAAGAGTTATTCAGGTCTTTTGATGAATAAAGTTTATTGTGCTTAGTATACGAGTTATAATATGCTTTCGATTTTTTTTCTGAATTTACTTGTTCCGATTTTGTAGATAGTACCAAATTTCCTCTTTATCACTCGTTTCTTTTAAGTTTTCTTCTAAATGTTCAATACTATTACTTATTGCATCCATAGGCGGTGACTCTTTGACTACAGCTTCGCTTGACATTGAAGCACAAGTTTCTACAAATCTACCTTTACAAAAGCACTTGTATAAGTTATGAACCATGCACCAAGATTCAATGTTTTCACAGTTCAGTTTCAATGCTACTACAGTTAGCTCTCGTTTTTTCTGGTGTTCATGTTTTAAGCTCATATTACTATAAAAATCAGCGTACTTTTTTGATGTTTTCCAATTTCTTTTTTCTCCTTTCAACAATATTCTTTTTTCGCCAGCTACAATAACAGTTTGATGAAATTTTTGCTCTTCTTTCGCTAAATTTAAGTTCATTTCATTATCTATATTGAATAACACTGGAAATAGACTTGAACCATCTGCACATGATAAATCACCTTTATAAGGAAAATCGCATTTACAATTGAACATGCATTCTACACGCCCACAATGTTGCTTTATATTGTATGAGCCTGTTAATGATGCACAAATACAACCTAAACCACAGTACATTTTAGAACAAGTTTGCGATGAAGTACGTTGTGCGGTTTCCGGCAAAGTAATAACTGTAACGTCAAGTCTGTCTAGTTCGCCAAATTTCCTCTTTGATTTATCCTTTACCAATGGCAAAGTATCTATGCTATTCATATCTTTACATGGAAATGGTTTGATATTTTCTTCTTTAACGAAAAATGAATCTTGAACCAAACTTATTTCTACAGAGTCTACGATCTTCTTCAGCATCTCTTCTACTTCAGCTCCTACATCTGTTTCTTGTGTCTGTACATCTTTAATGATTGCATCTTTATTTATCGACTCTGACATATCCAAAAAAAATTCTGAGTCACGGCGCATTAGTAATTTGTTTTTATTATACTTGTATCCTAAATCAAATGTGATGCAATTCTTTTCTAGTGGAACCGCTTTAGATTTTTCGATTGTGCCTAAAACAGACACGGCTAATTCAGCCCATTTTCGGGTAATAGTGCCATCTTCGTGACGCAAATTATTTAAAAAATTGGTAATTGTTGGTTCTAACGCAATACCATATGTTGGAAATATATCGATACCTGGTTTTGGCAGATCTAATAATTCAGTGTTCCCAACATGATATTTTTGGTAGGATGTGTCAAGAATTTTTTTCCTGCAAAAGGGACCTGGTTTGAATCTAACGGTCAAAGAGTTGCGTAAAAGGCTTTTTTTCCGTACTTTATTATCACCAGGAAATTTCATTTTAACGTTTTGTGCTGGTAAACTCTTGTTTGCTAAATCGTAGTTGCAAATGGTTTTTCTATTGCCCCCGAAACTTCCGTTCACTTGAATAAATTTCCCATCGTATAAAACAAACTGACGTGGATATTTATGGTCTTCTGGATTAAGATTAATCAACATCTGCCAGGTAGATCTCGAAACAGGTGTATCGCCCCTTAAAATGCTTTTTGCCATTTTTTTTGTATTACAGTCACCTGACGACCCATGTCTAATTTTTTTAAATAAAACATTTTGTTGTGTTTCTAAATCAGTAAGAAGATAGGCATATGTATCTTGTTCAAACGATTTTCTGATATCTCTAACAGTTTTAACTTTCAGTCGTGACTTTCTTTTTGGTATATAACACTTATCTGTTTTAGGTGTATAATCACAAGTCGTTTTTTTAACATCAATAAGTTTAAGAGGTATTGCTGGTTGCACTTTTAAAAGATCGTAAAGATAATTCACATGATCACTACCAACCCGCGTAATGTTGGAAGAAAACACTTTAGCACAGCTGCTGTCCATGATTCCCGATATCTGAAACTAAAGAGAAAACATATTTTTCGGACCTCCTTTTTTCTTTCCTCTTATTGCATACCTAATATTATAAAGCTGAATAGTTTGTACGCGCTTATCTCCTCCTTTTTTGTATTGGATAGTCCATTTACCGAGGAAAGGTAGGGAAAGGCTATAAAACATCACTCTACGCTATATGGAAGCCGAGCAGCGCGGGTAAAACGCAGCAGTAGCTAATATGTATTTAAAACTTTTCACTTACTGAGTGAATGACTGACAGACAACGGACAGCCAAAACTACTGTTTCGTAGAGAGTTGAAATTGATAACAAAATTAATAACACAAATGCTTGTGTTCGTTGGGGGATGTAATGTAAGGTAGCAATAAGAGAGAAAAAAGGGGTAAATTGATTGAAACTTTTTATTAAAGCACTGTTATCAAATCATTGAACCGTTTAGACACAATACCGAATTTAAGTAATTTTACCAAAACCGGTATTTTCAGTATACTACGATAATACGATATTTTTACACAGACAAATAACGATGTTAGTAAAAAATGATAGTAAAAAATGATGGGCACTTTAGTATGAAAGTTGGACGTTCAACCAACAGAAATGAAATGTAATTTATTGATAAGTATTCAATGTTTAGATTACGTGAATATAAATTCTATTTTCATAAATTAGGGGGTTGTTAAGATAATACACCTAAAATATTGGTAACTAGCTGACCCGGCGAACTTCTAACACAATATCCATTATTAGTTCCAAAAAAGGCAATGAAATACAAAAAAGCAAAAGTTCAATACTTATGAATTTATTTATTTATTTTTATTTATTTACACTTCATGTAGGTATACAAAGGTGGACTTAATGCCTAGTGGCATTCTCTAACAGTCAACCTTAGGGTGATGCAGAGAGACACAATAGTAGGTGCAAACGTTTAACACTTGTGAGTTTTGATCATACATTGACAAGTAGATATAATTAACATTACATATAATTAAGATTAAAATTAACATTAACATCATATATAATTAAACACATCACTGAATAATTATATTAAGTACTTACTTGTTTGTACAAGGGTCAATAATAATTACTTGGTTGGACCCAACTCTTTGTTCAATAATTGAAATGGTGATAATTATGAGGATTTTTTGAAGAATGAGCTTGAAAATGTGGATTTAGAAAACAAGGAGACAAATGATATTCCAATACGATAGTTGGCCAGCGCACTAGGTATCAAATTACTGTGCGGCAACGGCTGGATACCTTATTTCTAAGGCGTTGGTTTGGCAAGGAGATCTAATTCTATGGTCCGCTCCATACCCTGACAGGTTGATTTTTACGTGTAGGGGTACATGAAGTCCCTTGTTTATGACATCAATTCCGTCTTTCGAAAACGTCAGCGGAAAAATCATTGAAGCGGCTGAAGAAATAAGACGCACATTCACTTCAAGAGTGACCGTCACAGAGATAAGGAAGCGTGTGCGAGCATGTATTCATCATAGGGAAGTCACTTGGAACAAAATTTTATAAACTATGATATTTTTTAAATTGTCCGTTTTCCTTTACCGCCCCGCTCGCACTTATGATCAATTAATTCATTCATTTTTAAGAATTTTATAAATAATTTATTTTTTTAAGCTAAATGCAGTTTTCTTTTGGCCAAATTAGTGACTTAAAACAAAATTTGATACTAATTGACTTGCTATTTTAAAACGAAATATATTTCCGCCAGTATTAGTATTAATAAATGTTTATTGATGATATGATGAGATGAGATATGATGTGTTGACTACAAATTATAACCGAAATCACTTAAATCAAACCAGTGGTTTTTTAATTATTGATATTTTTGTAGTTCGATCGGGATTTTTCACTAAAATAAAAAATGTTGAATACTCAGAAACTAGCCACTTTCCGACTAGAGACCTCTGGCAAATTTTGTTGGAAATTAGTTGTGTTACCAGCTCCCAAAAGGAATACGTCGAGTTACAAGTCATCCTGTCTAAACAACGTCCAATCCGCCCATGATCCTTTAAGTTAGTTTCGTCAATAATTTCGAGGATAGAGCTCCCAACTGATATTGGGTAGGACGTAATATGGGTGTTCGACATGACTTTCGTCTTGTCCATGTTCATTCGCAGCTCTACCTGTTGAAAATCTCTACAGAGGTCACCGAGCATTCTGCTTAGATCTTCAAGCCATTCTGTTACAATCAACAAGGCGTCGGCAAACCAGGAGGTCTACTCCGGTTCTCGAATGCGAAGTTTCGTTTGATTTGCGGCCGCAAACAACGTTTTCGGAACCATAGACAACTTTCGTGAACGAATGAATTCTACAATGAACGAATGAAGTGAAGATAAATAAATAGGCAATAAAAAGGTTTAGATTCGAAATTAAAAATAAAATTTTATTTTAAGTAATTATATAACTAAAATGATAATGCCATAGTTTAGCACACATAATCATTAAGAAAATCATGAATAAGCTTTTAATATTAATGTTTAAGATGGAAAATCCTAAACAGGATAAAAACCTCCTTTTAAAGATTTATATACGACCAAGTTAAAAAGTTTAAGAATGTTGGCTTTGTCATTTATTGACATTTATTTATAAAAATAATGACAACCAAATTTATTCGTATTAAATTAGTACAGTCAGTTAAATATTTTAAATGTCTACATGGGAATTTGAAGACACTAAATTATTTCATGTTATGATGGTTAACAATATATTTTTGAAAGAATTTATCTTATCTATGTGAAAGAATAGCGAAAATATGTACTAGCAATACTTAAGTTTATTTTTCTAGCGGTATTATTCGTTTTATAATAAAATATTACACATGAAACATTTATGTACAATTCATAAGGTATTCAAATAAGTATTTAATTACCCTAAATGTTACTAACTCTCATAGACATGTAAATTATATAGGTTCGTTAACAAACTATTGAGCTGACTGTACATTGATTTTATATCGTCATTTAAATGGTTTCTTTGGTGACCTACGTGTTGCCCACACGAAGAAACCGTGATAAAACGAAGACTTGCAATTACTTTCATTGATTTTTTAATAAAATTTAACCCAAACGAAAATCAAACGATAACTATTTTGGTTTCGTCGAAATGACATTAAACGTCCGAAAAATAATCTGTCAAACTCGAATTTTCGTTCGTGCGGATTGTACAACCAGAGTAGGGTTCCGAAAATTTCGATGTCAAACAGTACATCTCATACTAATTTCTGGCTTGTTTCATTCCTTTGTCGTTCGTTTATATGTCATTGTGGTAGGTAATCTTTGAAGTTTCGTCCGAAACTTCGTTTTTCGTCGAATCGGAGTAGACCTCCAGAGGTGAGTGAAGTATTCCTATACTTTCCAGATACTTTTCATTCCAAGAGCTTGAAACCATCTTCCAATACAGTGGTAAACAGCTTTGGAGATAAAACGTCTCTTTGCCTCACAGAGATGCAGAGAAATGTCCCTCGGGTGTTTATAAGTGGGATAAGTGATCCCAGTTGGGTAGGTCTAATTTTGAGAAGGAGGTAAATTGTTAAATCCAACTTGGATGGGCAGCGTTCAGGAAACTACGCAATATCTTCTCGTAAACATACCTCAATGCCTCAAGACGAAAGTCTATAATCAGTGTGTTACCAACGATGATCTATGAAACCGATATATGGTTTCTCACTCTGAGTCTTATAAGGAAGCTCAAGGTCGGTCAGCGAGCTATGGAAAGGGCTATGCTCAAAGTTGTTTTTACATGATCGAATAAAAAATCGGGAGATCCGTAAACAAACAAAATTCGGTGTAGCCCCGCGGATTAAAAAGCTGAAGTTCAGTGGGCGCAGGGCACATGGCTTGGAGAAACGACTGCTGCTGGGGCAGCAATGTTGTCGAGTGGAGCCGCGTCCTGGCAAGCGCAGCGTAGAACGTGCACCCACTCATACTCTGCAAAAGTATGGAACGTGTGGTTAACAATAGACTCCTGCTATGGTATACCTTGAAGGTAACGATCTCCTCAGCGAGTGGCAATACGGGTTACGAAGCAACCGATCTATTGGAGTCTTTCTTGCGTATGTCACTTACATTTGGACCGGGGTCATCGAGGGGCATGGGGAGGCATTAGCTGTCTCCCTCGATATATCGAAGGCCTTCGACAGGGTATGGCATGACAGTCTTATCGGCAAGCTTCCTGCATATGGACTTCCCGCTGATCTGTGCAGATGGATATCAGACTTTCTGAGGAATCAGACAATTCGAGTAGTCATCGATGGCTGCTCGTCTGACCAATTCGGTAGTAATTATATAATTACAAGTTTTGTTATTGTATATCTATTACTTTAATGATGTATTCATTTATTGGAACCTATCTGTTTCAGTTTGGTATTGTATTTTTTTATTTATTTGTATATTACCTCTATATTTTATATGGACCACAGTTGCCTGAAATAAAGGAATAATAAACAATGAATTAAAGTAGGAGCCCTCAGGGGTACTTTCAGCACCGCTTATTTTGCTGCACATAGATGATAGCACAATTGTTGAAAGGTATGTATGTGTCTCATGCACAGATTAGTGGAACACAGATCCAGTCTCCAAGAGAATCGATAGTCGAACGTTTGAACTCGTCCTTGAAGGTGATCTACGACTGGGGTAACGCCGACTTGGTCAAGTTCGACGCTAGCATAACCCAGGCGTGTCTATTTCCCGCCAAACGGAGTCAATTTCCGCTGACTCTTACTTTCCGGAATTGTCTTGAACTTCTTGGCGTAACTCTGACGCCCACATTCAACTTTGGCTCCTATATAGCGTCAAAAGCGCAACTGGCTAGTAGGAAGTTGGGTATCCTATAGAGGGTGATTCATTCAATTGCTGAGCGTGTATCAAGCACAGGTTTGGTCCTGTATGGAATACTGTTGTCATCTTTGGGACGGCTAGGCTAAATACCAGCTGGACGCGTTATAGTACATCGAGAGAGGTGCCAAGAGGCTCAT